TCTGTTGATCAACGGGCTAGTCAACTAGAGGCTCACTAGGGACATATTGTGGTCTAAGTATTCACACATGTATTACGATTTCCGGATAACACAATTATAGCATGAATAAAATACAATTATCATGAACAAGGAAATATAATAATAATCCTTTTATTATTGCCTCTAGGGCATATTTCCAACAGACTTCACATTTTACAAGATGTCATTGGTCAAAGTGATAGCTTGTTGAGAACCATTGGGAGCAAGTACTAAGATTTTCCTTTACTTCAATAGTTGATGCAACACATGAGTTAAATTCATGTGGATTGATAAATTCAATACATAATTGATTTTTTATATGTACAACTGTTGTACTAAAAAAAACTTTCTTGATTGAGTACTTCAAACTGTCTCTATTCCTGGCCATAAAGGGTGAAGACAACAAAATCACTTTCAACCTATTTGCTAATATGAGTTATAGCCAATCCATCCTAGATTTACACAAAAAAGGCTAGATGCACACTAGAAAGTGTAACCCTATTGAGTACCCTAATTATAGCAGACTGAAAATTTGCTGATCAAAAGGAATTGAAGTTACATCGTGGCATACAAGGTATGCATTAAAACATAGCTTAGTACTAGAGACTAGGTCTCAATATAAACCTTTATACTGGAAGAAGCTATAGATTTATTCACTTCCTAGGCACACACACACACACACACACACATATATATATATATATATATTAAAAGGTAATGTTTTGTACTCTCTAATGTAGGACAAAAGATACTAAATATAGTGTAAAAAACGCTCTTATATTATGGGACAGAGGGAGTACATTATATGCTACACAATACCCTGATGTTATCATATGTAGGCTACAGGTGATGTTACCTCGTTCATAATGTACGAATTCAAACTTTCCAACCCTTGAAGCATATCCATAATTGTATTCATTTTAGGTCTATTGCTCCGCTCAGGATTCACGCATGTATCTTTCTATTTGTTGGCAGTCTGTTTCCAATGATAGTTGTTTCTATAGCCTATTTTTCCATTTTTGAAGCTCCCGTGAATTGGAAAACAGATTGGGGATACATTACTATACAATGGTAATGCCATATATTCTTATGCAAGTGGACCTCCATCTTGAAAGTTCAAACTGATTCATCTTACACGCTTGATGAACTCATTTGAATCTTTTCTAATGTCATACGGGTAGTCCCTGTGCCCTGTTATTACCTCCAAGATAATTACACCCAAACTGAATATGCCTGCCATTGGTGTTATTATACCTCGTTGTTGGTATTCTACCGTCATGTAACCTCTACAGCATAACATGAGTAGTGAATATGAAGCATTACAAGAACAATAGTGAAAATACATTCCATCAATTACTAAAAGGTGATAAATAATGAGGTGCTTCACTTAGAATGTTCCAATAGCAGTTGTAGTGTGGATAGATAATCCACCAAATAGCTTTGACAGACCAAAGTCTGTAATTTTAGGAACAAAATTTTCACCAAGCAATATGTTCGCATGTTTTAAGTCCAAATGAACAATAGTATCCTTTGTTTCCTCATGAAGGTACTGTAGACCACGGGGAATGCCCTCAATTATTTTGCAATGTTGGCGCCAATCAAGTCCAGATGACGCATCTGCATTTATAAGACCATTCAATTCATGTTGTCTCAAAATATATTTATGTTGCTCCATGCATGGGACTGTAACCTTCTATCATATGCTCTCTTTTTTAGTCATAAGAACACAATTTTTAATTTTGGATACTATGATAAAACCACAAAACCTGCAACCTCAAGGAAACATGAAAGTGGATTCATGGTGCCCATGTGGGCATGTGATCAGGGACTATGAGCCATCAGGTCCACGAAGGAGAAATGGGCGGAATTGGGTCATAAATACTTAGGATGCAGATTAATCTTATAAGACATGATGGTACTAGGGCATATCCAATATATGCATTTCTTAGCCTTGTAAGGGTCACAGTGATTTGAAATTGGGATAGGTGCATCGATGATGATCTTTCCCGTCTCAACCCATGCACGGTGTAGCTGATTGTGCTGTTTTGTACTGGATCAGTGGGTCATTGCCTTCATGATGGTTGTACACAACACATCAACTAGGTCACAGATCAGGAGGTCGACGCCACAGCAACTTGCATGTTGGCATAGGGCAACGTCTCTGAAGGTGTCCACCACACACATGCTGCTGGCACCTCGAGAGCAGGATGTCAACCAGCCTTGGGCCCTGACCGGGCATGAACACCAATGGCACTGTCCTAGAGGCATGAACACCAACGGTTGCTGGCAAAAGGCAATGGAGACGAGAGCACTAAGAAGTTGGGTGCTCTGGGCTCACACCAACTCATATAGGCATAGCCACCGCAGTTCAGGTTACCCGAATAGTTCTGGTCGGGTAATTCGGGTTTTCCAAATTTCAGGTTTTCAAAACTAATACCTGAAACTTGTCCAAAAAAAAGTGAAACCCGAAAATTCGGGTACCTGGAAATTCGGGTTCGGGTTTGGGTTTTCCCGATTTACCTGAATAGAGAAGCTGCGGTTAACCTCTTTCCTCTACCTAGCAAATAACGACAGCATTGCAGCTGCAAGTGAAGCCAATGTCGTGGTCGCTGGTGGAGATCTTGAGCACTTCAGCTTCTCGGGGAAGCAGAGGAAGGGTTTGAGCTTGCGTCGCCAGCAGCATGTCGAGGAACACGAGCGAAAGAAGTGCCAACGTAACCGCAACGGCGGCACCAACCGTAACGGTACCTTATGGAGGGAAGTTGGGCTAGGCCTGTGCTAAAAGGCTTAAAGGGCGCGGAATTTTTCTGCTGGGCTTCGAATATTTTGGGCTATTCATTTAGTTTGGGTACCGTGGCTATTAACCCGAATTTTCAAAATATATTTCAGATTTCTAGAGTTGACACTCGAAATGATGTTCGGGTTTTTTGGGTTTGGGTTCGGGTAATTTGGGTTCGGGCTTCGGGTATCGGGTTTTATGCCCACCGTGAACCCTGTGTGTATGCAAGCACCTGGGGTTGCTGATTGCATCTAATGAGCTCGGGTGCACTCCTCAACATTGAGAGTCCACGAAAAGAGCCGCAATCCTCCACCCCTTGTCATACACCACAGCAGCTTTGGCACATGAGCTTGTCAATTTAGAGATTCTCTACACTAGGCATCCATGGAGGCCTGACTTTTTGGCAGGGATGTAACATGGGTCCTAGATGTAAATGCGGGGATCTCCAAGGGGCGGCCCTAAAACGCCCCAAATGTCCGTTTGTCTTGTCTTGTCAGGATTTGGGCCCCAAAAGCGATCCAACATATGCCCCCATTTTTCCATGAACAATCCGTCACCCCATTTCTCCCCCAAATTTGAGGACGATTTGAGGGTGTGAGGGTGTCCGCCGGTCTGCCGGCCTGGGCCCAATCTGACCCCACCTCAGGGGTCGACCCAAAACCACTTTTTTTATCTATCACCCCCTCCCCCCCCCCTTCTCCTCGCAGTCTCCCCCGATTTTTGTAAATGTAATGTGCCCTTTAATTGGGTTCCGGTATAAATGACGAGAAGTTAATGGGACTAATGTTGACCCCTAGTTTATACACTGATTTTTGTCTTATGTGTACATAGTGACATGGATCAACGATCGTCGAAAATTCAAGTGCTCAAGAAGGACGTCGTGAAGGCTAGCTTATTTAGCCTTTCTTTTGGTTCTCGGGTATTATGCCTCCATAGGGAATTTACAAGGTGGCTCACGCCAGCAGTTCCATCGCCCCAACGAATCCAATCATTTCACATAAACTTTTTTTGGGGGAATCGTTTCACATAAACCAAGCAGTCTTTAATCAGTTATCAGATCTCTCTTTTTCACCACAGATGAGGAATCAACAGTCAGATGTAACGGTGCCCCCAAAGCACGAAATCTTAACTCAACATGAAACATACAAAAACAAGAACTATTCAGTATTTAAAGGTCATACCTGAAATATACTTGTCAAGACTTCCATTAGGCATACATTCCAAGCAAAGAAAACGTGTAGTGCTTTCAGCAACAACCATTTTTCCTTCAAAAGGCATATGTCAAAGTTGTGTATCATAGCAGTGGCCCACTAGTCGCACTATATTTGGGTGATGTAGTTCCATGAGAAAGGATAAGTTCACAAAAAGTGAAAAAGTTCGTGAATTGGAAAAAAGTTCATCTGATTTGAAAAAAGTTCATCAAATTTGAAAAATGTTTATGAATTTGAAAAAAAGTTCATCAACTTTGAAAATGTTCATAGAATTTTTTTTAAAAATCATTGAATTTCAGAAAAAGTTCATCAAATTTAAAATAATTCATAAAAATTCAAAAAAATTCATCAAATTTGAAGAAAAGTTCAACAATTTTAAAAAAAAGTTAATCGATTTAAAAAAAAGGTTCACAAATTTAAAAGAAAAAATTCAGGAATTTTAAAAAGCGCACAATGAATAAAACAAAAAGGATGAGAAAAAGGAAAAAGGAATAAACCGAGCTGAAGCACGAAATAAAGAGAGAAAAATGATCTACCTTTACACTCGTGAGTGGATAGCCCAGTGAGCTGAGCCCTTACAACAGAAAGGTTGCAACTTCGATCCCTCACCTTAGCGCTCTTTTTTTGACCTTTCGAGAAACATGAAGGAAAAAATAGAATGGGTCGGCCCAGTTTGGACTGCTGCAGGCGCCCTTTTGCAAATTGCACTGTAACGGGCGCCTGCAGCGCCAAATAGGAAATGCCGGTGTATTTACACTACCAATTGACTGAGATAGTATTATGGGCCGAACTTGTCTATATATGAAGCCATGGCCCTGCATGTCCAGGGAAACATAGCATATCCCATGCATACCCGTGATCACAATGTCAATCGTGTTCTCGCAAGAGCTGCTCATCTCCACAGCACTCTTCCCCTATACTACTTGTGCTTGAGGGCTGGCTATAGATCAAATAACCCAGTGGTGCTCCCAACAAACTGGCCCATACTGCACATGTTCCCTTCCTTCGTGGCCAACCTCCACAACTTGCATGATTATTTCGCCCTTGTCCTCGCTCGATCAGGTCACAACTTCAGGGCGCACGGCCCTCTTGGGACCGGGATGCGGTTATTCGTCACATGCGACCCTGCGAACATCCGGCACATCTTCACGACCAACTACACCAACTTTCCCAAGGGTGCGGAGTTTTCCGCTATCTTCGACATCATGGGTGGAAGCCTCTTTACTATTGACGGCGAGCTGTGTCGTCAGCAGCGCGCCAACGTCAAGGGCGTACTTAGCAGTCCGTGGAAGGTTGCCAGGATTGCCGCTTGCTGCCGCGACAAGGTGGAGAACAACCTGCTCCCCTTGTTTACCAACATGGAGAGCATTGGCACTCCGTTCGACATGCAAGAAATGATGTCGAGGTTTATGTTTGACCTGGCTGCTATGCCTCTCTTTGGCGTGGACCCGGGGCTCGTATCATCGGACATGCCGCCCATGGATGTTGCGGTCGCCATGGACACGGTCATGGAGGTGGGCTTCTTTCGGCATGTGATGTCAGCTTCTTGTTGGAAATTGATGAGGCGGCTAAACATCGGCCCTGAGAGAAAGCTCAGAGTGGCGCACACTATGCTACGAGGGTTTATCGTGGATATGATGGAGAGGAGGAAGATCAACGCATGCCATATTGGTAATGATGAGGAACAAGAGGGTGTGGATGTTATGTCTCCCTTCCTCAATGATCCAGACTACGCCAACGATGAATTGGCCCATGCAATGATCATTGGCTACATGCTCGCTGCAAGGGACACAGTTGGAACGACCCTAACATGGATCTTCTACAATCTCGCTCAGAACCCAAACATTGTGTCAATCATACGCAATGAACTCTCACCCATTGCATCAAACAAAGTAGCAGCCGGTGTGGATGCCATGGTGATCTTTGAGCCAGACGAAACCAAATCCCTAGTCTATCTGAAAGCCGTCTTGTACGAAACTCTTAGGTTGTACCCACCGGCGCCTTTTGAGAGGAAGACGGTGGCCGCCGATGATATAATGCCAAGTGGCCATGAACTGGGCACCGGCGACACCATCCTTATTTCCCTCCACTCAATGGGGAGAATGGAGGGCTTGTGGGGTAAAGATTGCCTCAACTACAATCCAGATAGGTGGCTCTCGGAGGATGGCAACAAGCTGAAGTACGTACCATCTCACAAGTTCTTGGCCTTCAACTCGGGCCCGAGGATTTGCCTCGGCAAGGACATCGCGGTTATGCAAATGAAGACCGTCATCGCGTCAACTCTGTGGAACTTTGATGTGGAGGTGATGGAAGGGCAAAGCATCCAGGCCAAGCCGTCTTGTATACTGGAAATGAAAAATGGGCTCATGGTTAAGCTGAAGAAGCGAGGAATGTAACATTGGACTCTCGTGTTATGTAAACGTACTTAGGACCGCTTTGTTTTATTATCGAATAATAAAGGCATCCATGAATCAAAATGCATCTTTCTTTTAGGAAAGACGACCAATGTGCTGGCAATGATTACTTTGTTGTATGAAACATGGTATAAAGGCATCGAGCCATAATATTTTCTTCCATTTTATGAAACTAGAAACATGTCCAATACATTTCTATGGAATATTTTGACCGGATATTTTGATAGAGATGTCATATTTATTTCTACGGAATATAAACATGCATTGTACAGTTGCTTTATTCTGTTAACATACGTGCCGAGAAAGATGTGCTGCAGTTTAGGACCGCTTCGATAGCAGCCAATAGATGGTGTCCTCTCTTCCTGAGAGTGTATGTAATCAGCAAGCGTAGCAGCAACAAAAGCAATATACTACTACATCTTTCTTTTTGGGAAACGTTTGGGGCCGGGGCACCGGCGAAAACATTAGGCCGGTCTTCCTCTTCCTCGCGTCTCCTTCATGGGGCGCGCGGAAGCCCTCTTCTTCTGCCCCCTCCTCCTCACCCCTTTCCTGTCCCTTCCCCTCTTCCCGAGCTGCGACTAGGCCACCACGGGCTACTTCGCCGGCGGCCAGGCTCCCCTCGCCGACTGCCATGGCTGCCTGCCGCCATGGCCAGATCCATCCCCTACTTCAAGCCTTCACGCGGGCACATCCCCTTCTCCCTTCCCCCTTCCCCCGGGCTGCGACTGGGCGACCACGACCTCCATCGCCGGTGGCCAGGCGCTCCCTCGCCGGCCGCCATGGCTGCCTGCAGCCATGCGCGGATCCTCCCGCGTATACAAGTGTTGCAACCGTCACCTAGAAAAGCTTCAACAGCCGTTGAAAAAAGCTTCAACCATAGACATAGAAAGCTTCAATGGCATTGCACAACAAGGGAAAGCTGCAACCGTTGTTGGATTTTGCTACTACCGGCAAAGCTTTTTGCTACATCCATCAGGCAGAGCTACGACCTCGCGAGGACGATAATGATTTTTTTGCTACAACTGTAGCAGGCTTTTGCTACTACCGTTGGAGGTTTTTGCTACATCCAGTAGATAAAAAAGCTTCAACCAGACAATGAAATACAGGAAAAGTTACAACCGTTTTGACAAAAAGCTTCAACCCACAGATGAAAAAGCTTCAAACAGAGATTGAGAAAATCCTCCTCGACGACGACCATGGCGTCTCTCTGTGTTTTTGTTGCAACCGCAGAGTAAAAAGCTGCAAGCCTTTGTGAAAAAAGCTTCAAGCTCAGGTGAAAAAAGCTTCAATTGGCACGGTGGAAAGCTTCAATCCGCGAGAAAAGTTTCAACAGGCATAGAGAAAAGCTTCAACCGATGAGATAAAAAGCTTCAACCTGACTCGCCAATGGCAGCGAGCAGCGACAGTTGAGAGCTGCGTCGGCGACACGACAGTCCAGCGACGACGACGGCTGCTAGGTGCTGCGACGACAAGGGGTGCCGGTGTGCTTCGAGACGGCGCCATTTTTTGCTACGAGGGGGCGATGGGCTTTCTGCTGGACCGGGGGCGAGTACAGATGCTGCGACGGGGACGGGGACGGTGGCGGGCCG